AGACTCAGCCTCTCACTCTTCTCTCTCCATGGGACTGCTTTTAATACTATGATACAGAACATCTCACATTAGTATCTGAGCATCTTATTTCCAAACTGATAAATTAAAGGGGGAAATGATTCATGTTGCAAATGGATTTTCCACATTAGAAAAAAAGGCCACAAGTTCCCTTTAAGTAGCATCTTCTAAAGTGTTTGTTGACAGATTGTTAATTAATTAGCTGTGGTAAACTCAAAACTGAAATGTTCTAAGCCATGACTGCTGGTTAAGTATCAAGCAGAAATTAAGATAAAGCAAATATCACATGATTATGATTTTTTATGCTATTTTTTTTACATCTTTATTGGAGTATAATTGCTTTACAGTGGTTTGTTAGTTTCTGCTTTATAACAAAGTGAATCAGTTATAAATATATATATATTCCCATAACTCTCCCTTTTGCATCTCCCTCCCTCCCACTCTCCCTATCCCACCCCTCCAGACGGTCACAAAGCACCAAGCTGATTTTTAAAATAGGGTGCAATTTGCTCAGTTTTAAATTTTTATTTTACTGGATTAGCAGCTAAAATACAGGAATGCTGGCAGCCCCAAACCTCCTCTGTCCTCTATACAAGGACAGTCCTCCCCTCCTAAAAGCCTCTCATGAGTAACCTAGAGCTCTCCTTTTTGATTTACTTTGTTTCATTCTTGGAAATAACATGATAAATATGTTCCATGTGTCTCCAGATGGAGCCATCAACAACCCTTCTTTTCCTCCAAAGCCTAGAGACAAAAGCGCCCTCATGTAAATGTGTCTAGATGGAGAATTAGATGATTAGCATTGTCTCTGGCATGGTCCCCTCCCAGTGTCACGTCTCTGCTGCCCGGTCACCCCATTGTTTGTCTGCAAGGTGGGGCTGGGGTTTCTCAAGCTTTGACTCACATTCAGAAATGAGTCTTGCCTGTGCCCTCCCCTCCCTGATGGAGTCACAGGCGCATACCTGCTCTCAGGTGTCTGCTCCATAGAGAGGCAAGATGCAGAGCCTGGCTTCCTGATTTCAATACAGTATGGTCCTTTGAAATGAGAGAACAGATGCAGGACTCATGATCGACCAGGCAACAGTCCCATGGCCAGGCTGGAGAGGTGTGGGTGGGAGCAGGCACTACAGAGTCGTCATTCCACATAGCTTCTCAGGGCCCACCTCACCTGGAGAAGTTGTTTACATGGGGGTGATCTGAGGGGTGCCAGGAAGTCTCCCTTCCTTTGAAAGAATAATCCAATCCCCCAGCCATTTGGGGTGCCTGTCAACAAGCCATTACAGATTTCAGAGACTTGGGTGGGCCATCCTTTCTGGATTCCAGATCCAGCTACCATCAGAGCCACACTTTTCTCATCAATAACATTAATAATACAGTTAGCTTTCTTCATAGAGAATTTTGAAAACATTATACAGAGGTGTTTTATAAGGTTTAATGACTAATAAAAATGCACCTGTGCCTGGCAGTGTAAGGGAGAGGGATGAGTTAGGGTCTCAGAGGAAGAAGGGTAGACAGGCTTGGTGGGAAAGAGAGACTGGTGTGTGCCAGGGAGGAAAAAGTATAGGGGAATGGTACAAGAGGTGGAGACCACCAGAACCAGCTTCCTAATTTTGTCATTAATGTAGCCCCTGGTAGAAAGCAGCCCAGTGACACAGGCACTTCAGCGGACTGAAAATTGCTATGAAGTCAGAAGATCTGTGATCCAACTCTGGCTTTGACATTAACCCTGTGTGACCTTGGGTCAAGCATGTCCTCATTCCAAGTCTCAGTCTCTCCCTATGTAAAATGAGGATATTGTGGTCAAGAGGGAAGTTGAGTGCCAGAGTTTTGAAAAGTTTAACGTGTTAGATGCATATGAGCTTGAATGACTCTTGGAGATTTATGACCTAGAGGACACTGCCACCTCAACTCCAGCCATGTTCTCTATAAAGACCACCCCTGGAGTACCCTCTGAGTTGATAACTGTGTTATAAGATAAGGTTGATCACTAGATAGAGTTCTCCAAACTAAGCAGGAGTTGTTGATGGACAAAGTAAGAGGCCAATGAGCAGACTGGGAAAAATAAAAAGTAACGTGTATTCCAGAGAAGCTGTGTGGGTGACAGTCAGGTGGCACAATCCACCCCGTCGTGAGCAGCACACATACACTGATGCCTTCTATGTGCCAGGCGTGGGAGAACACCTTGATCTGTGCCAACACCGAATGCATCCTGTCCCATGCTTCCCTTTTGGAGAATTTTCATCAGGATGAGCATAGTGGAGTGGGAACAGGGGAGAGGGGCATAGGTTGAGAAGGTGTTTGTCTTGAAGATGGAATGCAGGACCTGGAATCTGGAACACAGAATGTTACATTCTTAAAGTTGATAGGCTTGGGAAGAGGTGGAGGAGGAGGCCTGGCCTGCACAAGAAATTAAGGAAAGGATTACCTTTTAAGTGAGGCTAACCCTGAAAAATGATCATTGTTCAGTCTATAGATGACAGGAAGCTCAGAAGAGATCATTAGTCATGGTCCCCACCCAATGACAGTCACTTGTCCATGGTGGGGACACTGTCCATTTTACTGTGATGCAGTGGAAACGAGCCCTGGGCCAGGCCCCTCACCAGCTCCACCACTGCTAGCTACATGTTGTTGAGCAAGTCAGTGAACTTCTTTGAATCTAAATTTTTAGACTATAAAATCAGATTTGCATGACCTGACAGAATTGCCATGATGCTTAAGACAAGAGGTATGGAAAATGCTCTGAAGGTTCTTTTAGGTATTTCTATCACCTCTCACACAGTCTTATGCTTTGCTCTGATAATGATAGAAATCAGTGTGTCAATAGCCTCTAGTCAGCTGGATCCTGAGGTTTGGGACAGTGGTCCAAAAATGAACCAGCCTCCAAGAATACCGTGTTTCCCTATCCCAGGGGCTAGGAGGTCAAGTGGAGGGAGGACCAGGGCTCCTTCCTCCCATCTGAATAAGTCCTTGAGTAAAGTTGGCAGATTTAGCAAATCAGAATACAGCCTGCCCAGTTACGTTTGAATTTCAGATAAACAACGAGAAATATTTTAGTATGTCTCCTGCAGTATTGGGGACATACTTATACTGAAAATTCTGTTTATCTGAAATTCAAATTTAGTTAGTTGCCCTATATTTTATCTGGAAACTCTACCACAGAGACCAAATTCTATCCCACCCTCTTTCACCACCATTAATATCCTATTTTTGTTGGCAGTGCTCCCAACCCATATTCCTTCCCCATTTTCCTCTTCCTTCCTCCATGTTTCTTATAACTCTCAGTCTACAAACAGAGCTTCAGATATGTTCTATTTTTAAAAGAATTTGAGTCCTTGAGTTTGAGCAGACACCTAGGTGGATGAAGTCAGCTCAGGTAGTCAGGGACATAGATTGCTGGAATATCTGGTGGGTGGTTTTCATCAAAACAGGCAAGGAAAGCAAGTCATGGAGGAAGTGCAGGTAGGAGAAGTGGGTGAGGAATTCCCTGGAAGGTGATAATGAGGGCCACGTCTGGTGCCTGGGGCAGGTCGGGGCCCCTTAAAATGTTCCCAGGAGTAGCTGATGTGGGCCTGTGTTCAGCTGCCTCGCCTAGGGTCCGGCTTGCACCTCTGGTAAGTGGTAATGGATTCATCCTCCTGGGATCTGCTGGGTCCTTTCCTCCTACTTGAACTGTCTTGAGCCACTAGACCAAGCTCCTTTCCTATTCTTGGGTAACCAGAGAAGTAACGTAAACCTCATGACAATTAAGGAAATGTCACACTAATTGTTACTTAGGAAATTCAATCTCTGTTCTGCACCAATGCTAGGTCTGACTAATTTCCTGATTCTGGGTTTGATTCCCTGGCAAGAGGATTTTTCTCATTGAGGGGAGATATTCAGAGCTGCAGCATTTTGTAGCCTCCTCCAAAACTTTCTCATGCCTTTCTGTCTTTTCAACCCTACTAGCAAGCTCTTTCAAACTTTGCTTTTAGATTTACAGAAACTGGTATATTGAATATTGTATTTTATGCTATGCAGCTCCCATGTTTCTCTATCATGATTGCCACCTGGAAACTATACTTCCCATTTATAGGCATGAGCTTAGAAGATCAGCAACATGCCTACAAAGAAAACCAGGGATGCATGTCAGAGCTGGGAAGACCTCAGAGACTTTCCAGATCAGTATCCTCCAAACAAAGGCATGGAAGTCCAGAAGAGGCAGAATTCCCAGAGATGAGCCTGGCCGGTGAGTGGCAGGGTTGGATCTAGAACCCACACCTGTGCCTTCTTGGCCAATGCTCTTTCCTCTTGGTGAAATATCCTTCTATAATCCCTTACCTCCAGTGATCTCTTTGGTCTTCAATTCCCCCATTTTCCATGGAGGGCTAGAACCACTATCCCCCAACTACATTAAATGGCTGGCCTTTTCATCCCATAGTAAGTGAGGGATAGAGCCAGGATTAGAATTCAGGCCTCTGAGTTTCCAGAACAGGTTTACTCCAGCCCCATCACTTACACACCATGATTCTTCCCTCTAAGACAGAATCTGCTCCTGCCCTCTTCCTCATGCCTTTCCATTCTTACCCACAATCACTGTCTGAACTTCCCAAGGTAGATAGTTGGCATTGCCAACCCATCGGCGAAGATCTCATGTCTTGATCTAGTAAAATATCTGGGCCACCTTTTAATCCTCAGCTTAGCACCCCAACTTATTTCCTGTTAAATCTAAGAAATAAATTATGTATTCAATTGGGTCAGGAGTCTACAGGAAGATGAAGGAAGATAGGAAATCAGGGCAGTGGAGACAAAGGAAGAAAGAGAGGAAGATTGCAATGGGTGTGTGTGAGTCAATCCATTAGTCAACTTGAAGCTATTAATCACTTACCACACCCTTGGCTGTTGGAAAAAACACTCTTCAGAAGTCAGAAGGGAGAAGAGATGCAGGGAGCTGGTCTCATTGTGGCCTTGCCTGGGTTTCTTCCAGGTTCACCTCTTCCTAAGCAATGTCTTCCAGGCAGCAGCAGCAGCAGCAGCAACAGCAGCAGTGCCCACCTCAGACGGCCCAGCAGCAGCAGGTGAAGCAGCTCTGTCAGCCACCCCCTGTCAAATGTCAGGAGACATGTGTACCCAAAACCAAGGATCCATATGCTCCTCAGGCCAAGAAGCAATGCCCACGCAAGGGCACACCCATACCAGCTCAGCAGAAGTGCTGCTCCTCATCCCAACAAGCTGCCAAGAGTAAACAGAAGTAAGGATGGACCAAGATACACCTGCCTGCCATCCAGGCTACCAGATGCAGCTTTATTTTCCTCTTGCTTCTCCTCCCTCCACCCCCAGCTCCAGGATTTGCTCTCCTCTCCCACCTCCTCTTACCCAGGGTCCAATTAAGCATTGTCAGGATTTATTCCCACTGAGCCACTTATCCCACACACCCTCTTGCTCCCAGTCTTCTTCTCTACCCACTCTTTTGATATCCTAGGTGAACATGAGTGAGATCTCAGCCTCTCCAGCCTCCAGTTTGGCCACAGCTATGGCCCCATCCATGTCCCAAAGCAAGAAAATAATCTGGGCTTCTTCTGGTCTTCCACCTTGACTCATGGGGACACCAGAGGCTAAAGCACAGGTTCTGTCTCATTCCATATCCCAACTCTCCATCCTGAGCTTCCCTCCTATTTCTTCCTCTAATAAATTTGTGCTTCATGTCCTTGTCTGTGTCCTGGACCCAGTCTGCAATGCATTCATTGGTTCAGAGGGGATATTTGGGGGAAGTGAGTATGTGAGTACACACATGCTCATCAGTGCATCCTCAGGGGCATAGTTGCTCTCTAGTAAATAATGAAGGATGTCAGATCCTGACACATCTCAGGTAAAGGATGGGGAGAGAAATCCCAGGGACTAGTTGGCAAGAGTTTGGGAGACTCTTGCCAGCTAATTGTATTTAAGGACAGACAAATGGTGGAAAATTTTGCTCCTACAATTAGAAACACCCAGCCTACTTGATGAATGTGGTTTTTGCTTGTTGGAATTTGTCATTCTGAAAAAGCAGACAAAACATATATAAATGACATGAGTACTACAAAGCCCTTCTATGAACATGTGCAAATGAATTTTTCATGCATTTCTTTATTTATTGTCCATTCATTTATTAATTAACTCACATTAATTCATTCACTCACCCATCTAATATTTAGCAGGTTCTAGCATGAGAATAGTTTTCCATTCTGCCTATAAATTGGCTAGATATAGTATATGCTCAATAAATGACTGGTCTTATTATCATTGTTTACATATGGGGAATGTTGCTCCAAAACATTAGCCTAAGGACACTCCTCTGCTTAGAGAGTGTCCATATGGAAGTCTATTTACTGGCTCAGGAATCCATGCTAATTTTAAATTGTCTCTTTCCCAGCCTGGCGAGCACTCTGAACCAGGAAAGAAGAAATGTGGGCTCTAGTTTCAGCTCTGCCACTAAATAGATCTATCATCTTGAGCAAGTCCCTTCACCTCAGTCCTTTGTCCGTAAAATGAAAAGTTGGGCTGTATGCCTTTTTCCTGCCCTAAAATTAGATGGATCCATGAATTGGGGGAGGAGGGCTTTTGCATTTTTTTTTGTGAGTCCTGTTCCCTACCCCACCTTCTCTTCTCCCATGAGATCTACTGATCTCCTAATATGTAAGATCCATGTGTTCCAGGCAAAGCCCAGAAAATGAGAGAATGAATAAATGAAAGGTCAGACTTCATGAACAACTTCAGACTGTATAACCAGAAAATCTGAAAAGATACAACTGTGCATTTTAGGTGATTTTGAAAAATAAAGATTTATTTTGAATGGGCAGGAAAGGGAGGAAGGCAGAAAGCTATAGTTTTTAGTACTTTGGGACGCCAAAGGTTATATATAATTTGGCCCTCCCAGAAGCTTCTTGGAGGTGGGAAGCATGAACCTCTAATCCACTGAAGGAAATCAGAATATGTAACCTTAAATATGCCTCTTTGACATAAAAACTATTTTTAGCTGAAGACAATTAAGAAACAACAAACAGAAAAATTCCCCCCCTTTGGCCTAAAAGTAGGATATAAATTCTTTTACTAGAGACAGAATCTCATGAGAACAGAGATGGCACCAGAGGAATCTGCAAACCAACCATCCTCCAATACTTCCCACCCATTTATTTACCTTCCCACAGTTTACTGCCCTTGGAAGCCTAAAATTGCTTTCTTTGGTCCTGTCATTTCTCTACAAATGTATCATTTTTTGTTGAAGATGTTATATAAGCCACAGTCTTGGGCCATGGCTTTTAGTTACTCTTTGTTTTAGAGTGACGTGTGCTGCATGAATTAATAAACTGATTTTCTCTTGTTAATCTTTTTTTTTTAAAAGAGTCCTAGCTAAAAACTTAAAATGGGGAGAGGTAAAGTTTTGCTTTCCCTATATCATCAAAACATCTCCGTGCCATGAGTATGACCGTATCCAGGCAGGTGACACAGGACCATCCCCTGGCTCCAGGCCACTGGTTCCAGGAGCAGCCCAGCCAAGCCAGCCTGAGCCTGTCCTTTGATGATTCCCTGAGGGAAGGTGTGGGTTCAGGGTATGTGGAAGTACTTAGCCTTCCTTGGACAGTTCTTAATTGCTTACCAAGGCTCCCAATATCCTCAGGCCAAACACTCACATCTATGGACATCTAGTTGCATCAACATCGACACGTGCCCAGGTAAATTAGCACCCACCTGTACCTCCTTCCACATGGAGGAGTTATGGGACTGGGGCTCCTTGTCTGTATTCAAGTTCTAGGAGTTGAGATATTCTGTTGGAGCAGTGATATTCAGACCTGCTTGTCTCTGAGGATTTAAAAAAATCAACTGTTTAAATAAATCTCAAGTGGAGTCCAGATTGGGATATTTTTTTAAAGATACAGATAATGTCAATTGCAATCAAGGTATAAAAGACATTGGGTTTAGAATCTAGTGTTTCCCAACTTATCTGATCAAAAAAATTCCTGATGACACTTTAGGAATACAGATCCCCTGGCTCCCCTAGCTACTTCTATTACATTAGGATGAAGAGGTTATTGCTGTATTTTTAACAATCATCCCAAGTGATTCTTATGTTTAGGTCAGTTGGGGGAACACTCCTCACTGGGTATTGAGTCCCAGAAGCTCACAGAATGCTGCCCATTTCTCTATCAGTCTTTGTATCAGCTGGGACTTCATGCTTGACATGTGGTTGTCATTCAGCAAATATGTGTTAAATAAATGGCTGACTACTTCACAAACCAAGAAAATTCTGGAATGTTCTGAGTCACTGGAGATGAGATTCTAATAACAGATGTACTTCAGACCCTCAAGAGAAGCAATGCCTTTGATATCCAGAATCCATCTACTATGCTCTGCTCATGACAGTATCTGCTTTACATACATAATCTCATTTAAAAACGCTTTGGAAGCAAATCTTGTCATTCCTAACTTATAGGTAAGATAAACAGATTCATTAAGACCTCAGAGTCACAGTGCTGTACTTGCATCTTGGCTCTGACACCTATTTGCCAAGTAAACTTGGACAGGTGACATACTCTGTGCTTCAGCTTTCACATCTGTAGAATGAGTTTCATGACCTGTTCCTCACGGTGATGCTGTGGGGATTAGTGTCAGGTTCCTAGAACATAGTCTAACACTTTTTAGGTGTTAATCAAATAGGAGCTATTATTATTAAGAAACTTTTCCAATCTCACACACACACATCTAGTAAGAAGCAGAGCTAGAATTTGAACACAGGACTTTATGTTGCCAAACTTGTGACCTATAGAGATCACTCTGCACTCTAGAGGTGCTTGCTTTATGAGGGGGATCAGTGATGAGGCAGGCACAGCTGAACAAACAAGAGGGAACAAACAGCTACAAAAAACAATCACCTCCAACGGGGTTTTGGATTCTCTGTCCAAAAATGTTTAGTGGTTATCACTCTGCCCCTGCAACAACCCAAGGGGCAATGAGTGATCAGTGGGGGAGCATTTATCTAGGATGTAAGTCTGAACCATCCTAGATTCCATTTCAAAAGTCAATACTCTCAATACAAAACAATATATCTATATGCATCTTTGATCATCCATACCCAGAGGAACTCTATCTCGAAAAGAAAACATATAGGCAATTGCTCAGTTCAGCTGGGTGAGAATGTCAGGACCCAGCCAGGACTCCTTCTCTTCCTTCTCCTTCTTCTAAGAGTAGCTCTCCAGCACATAGAACATCCTGCTAGTATTGAGAAGCAATATGGCAAAGTTGTTAAGGAACTGTATCCTGGCACATCTTACCTTTATGACCTCTTGGGAGAGTTACTTAACACTTTTATGCCTCAGTTTCCTTTCCTAGGGCATGCCAAGGTCATTGCATGATCACCAGCAACTTTAACAAGCCCCCATACACACTCTAACTCATATAAATCATGGACTGTGTGGTCGTTGCCACTGTCCAATAACTCGAGATATATATAATCTGACTAACATGTACATCTGAAAGTGTATTTGAAAAAATGAGGGGAGATAAAGGAATCACAAAGCCCAAGCATGTGGCCCCACTCAAGAAGGGCACTCTGCCCTTCAGAACACACACACACACACACACACACACACACACACACACACACACACATAGAGAAGAAAAAGGGAAAACACACAGACAATAGGAAGAAGATTCATCAGGTTTGAAGTGAAAGGAAAGAATGAGACAAACTAGCAGGAAT